TATTATCACTCACAACTTGGAATTTAGAAAGTTTATATGTATGAAAATTATTTATTTTTTTAGAGATATCTATTTTGGGCTATCGGTGAAGGATAACTATGATTGTTGTAGAAATTGCATAAGAATTAAGAGAATTGAAACTATTTTCTTATTCATTTCATTGAGCATTGTTACATATTTAACGCATTGAAAATGTTGTTGTTTTGAGAAAAAATGGATGAATACCTTGGTGAATCTGGGTAGGAGTGTAGTTATGGTATTAAGTTGGTCTGTGTATCATTGGTGAAAGTCCAAAAACTCGCGCGGTTAGGTGTCGAACTTTCCAGTTAATACCGGTAAAAATGACAATTTTATAGTATTGTAGCCTACTTGCAGACATGTCCTAGATATTCACAATGCCGTATTCATTGCCCTATTTTCTATTGTAAATGAAATGATATCATGAATTGAGATATAAATTTGGCATTGCATGGTTTTGGAAAGAGAAATGAAAATGTTTTGGCACAAGCATTGCATATGCATTCACCTTATGTCTTCGTTAAGATTTATAAACTATGATGTAGTATTTCTACTAGGTTTTAGCTTACCCTATACGAGAAAATCATTTTTAAGTGTTGATGATATGCCTCCACCAAGGCAATAGCTTGGGCGGACTCAGAGCTGAAGGCTTCATTTTGTGTATTGTTGTATTTATTTTACATTTATGTGGGAAAATCATTTTTAGGTGTTGATGATATGCTTCCACCAAGGCAATAGCTTAGGAGGACTCAGAGCTAAGGGCTTCCTTTTATGTAATGTTGTATTTATTTTGTACAAACCAAGAGCTTTAACTGTTTTGAATTTAAATCCATTTTGTTGTAACCAAGCATAGTCTTGGAAAGTCGTAAGCCTTTAGAGCATTTACTACATGTTTAACCTTTATTTCAAATCTTTAACTTGTAACACATACTATAGATTCAGTGTTAAGACTTGTGAATGTATAATTGCATGTGTTACTTTTGTACCAAGGAATCTTATGAATTGATAAGGTTATTGTATTCAAAATGGTATTGTTATTCATTAGTATTGTGGATGATTTTATTGTAATTATTTTGGGACATTACACACCCTCACTTCGAACTTCCACCAAATGAATGCATTGTTCTGGACTAATTTCCAATCAAAGTACAACGGTTTTCAGATGATGCTAGCAAAAAAGATAAAAACGTGAAAGTAGACACTGGATAGTGGACAACAAGGTTTAATAGTTTCTTGGCTAAATTATAATTTAACCTCCTGTGGTTTGCCTAAAAAACATAGAGCCCCCCTATAGTTTCATTTGTAACACTTAAACCCCCATACTTCATACCAAAGTGCAATTTTCGACGGAACTGTTTGTTTAAACAGAACGTGTGTTGCATGACCATGAATGGTGACTGAAGCAATTTTTCATGCCCAAAAACATATGACAAATGATAAAAACACCCTTATTGACATATATACACAGAATGGTGTAGTGCAACAGGACATAGGTCACACTCTTGGACTATCACATTGGTTCTCTCTCCCGCATTATATAAATATGCAACACCATCACCTTCCATGCAAAACCACCACCATCACCTTTTATTTCTCCTCTTATCTCACCACCATCACCTTCCATGCAAAATCACAACCACCCAACATCACCACATCATATTTCATGCAAAACCACAGCCAACTTCTTATTCCATGCAGAACCACTACTCAAAATCACCACCACAACTTCTCTCTCTAAAAATTATCCAGCTACTGTTAAGCAGGCCTTTGGTAATCTCGGATTACTGGCCGGTTACGGTGCTAAACCCATAGGGCCGGGTTTGGGTCGTGACACAAAATCACCACCACAACTTCTCTCTCTAAAAATTATCCAAACCCACTTTTCTTTTTATAATTCAAATTAGTAACAAACCCAACCCATGAAATCAAACAATTGATATGTGTGAACATTTAAATTTTTGAAATAGCATTGATGAGATTCATACCAACCAAATCCACTTTTTCTTCCCATTTCCGACATTTCTTCGGCCCATCTTTCGGACTCCAAAATTTTCTCGACTCTTAACAATTTTATCTCGTTCTTTCACCAATCTCCTCACCTTACAATCTCCTCACCTTACTTTATACTTCATCCTACACTGCCTCATTTTCTCACTTCTTCCTGAAATTGGTGGTTTCGACATACTGAAAATTGTCTGAAAACTAACTTTACACATTTCAAAAAAAACATCTCCAAATCTATTTCTTTCTTTTTCATCATCCACCCTGTTCTATTGCTTCATCTATAACACTTTGTAAAGGGTGGTTCTTGGTTTTGACAGAACTGGGCAATGGTGGTGATGATGATGGTCACGATGAGAGAATATATATATATATATATATAGAGAGAGAGAGAGAGAGAAAGAGAGACGAAGTAATACAAGATCACTTTTCCTTATACAAGATAACTGTTGAAATATATATTATATATATCAGTTAATATGTATGTATATATATCATATATATATAATTGAAACTACCCATCAATTCTTTCATATGTATCATTTATGTATTATATATATCATATATGTATATCATATATCAAATATGTATCATATATGTATTATATATATCAGTTAATATGAATATCATATATGTATAATTTAAATTCTAGAGAGGGAGAGATAAGTATTTGTTTAGGTCTAAATTCTAGAGAGAGAAATATGTATTTGATGATGGTATGAAAGGTGTGTGGTTTGCCATGGGATGAAAAAGAAAAAGAAGAAGAAGAAGAAGAGGAATACAAAAAATTTAAAGAAAAATCAAAGAATATTCTGGTTTATAATGGCATTAAGAAAAAAATTAAAGAAATAAATAAGGTAATTTAGCTTTTTACATTTTCTGTTACGCACGTCCAAAATTGTACTTTGGTATAAAGTATAGGGGGTTTAAGTGTTACAAATAAAACTATAGGGGAGCTCCGTATTTTTTTGGGTAAACCATAGAGGGTCAAGTTATAATTTACCCTAATTTCTTTTAACATTTAGGGTTTCTAACACTTTTTTAGGGCATTTTGATCAAATGCTATTGATTAATAGATGGAAAATGATTAATTGATTTGGGCATTTTGAGGGTTTAGATTTCGTCGAGTAGAGAGGAAGGAGAAGGAGCAAAAGGAAAGGTACAATAAGAAGGGGAGTTAGTTGTGATGCAATTGAGGAGGTGCTAGTGATGGTGGAAGAGGTGATAGCTATGGATTATGTAAGCCTTGTTTGGTTTGACTTTGGGAGATAAGTTTTCAAAAAATATTTTGAGAAGAGAGTTTAGAAATTTTTGTAGTTTGTTTGGTTGTACATTTTGAAAATGGTTTTGGAGTTTGGGATGATTTGATATTTTGTTATAATTGAATAGATATATGTGAGAGAAAACGTGATTGAAAATGAGAGAGGAGAGAGAAAAAGTAATTTTAAAAATTTTTTGAGAAAAATTACAAACCAAACAAAATTTCCAAAAATTTTCTTCAAAATCTTTTTCCCAAAGCTAAACCAAACAAGCTGTATTGTTTGAGAAAGTAAGCTTTAGTTCAAAAATTAGAAAGTTATTATAAAATATTATATTACTCTCTCTACTTATTACTCTATCTACTTTTTTACATATTTTTTTATATAAAAAGTTAAAAAAATAACTAAAATAATCAATTCCGAAGCAAGTTCAATGAAAGAAAAAAGGGAATAGTATTGCTCAATGGATAATGTAAAAGTTAATTATTTTGTAAATATTTTTTTAAATGTACACTAAGACGTAAGTTCTCCGAGAAAAAGATTAGTAAATTGACAAAGATACTCCTTTATGTCAATTGATGTATGGTTAAAATTGAATCTAGTTTTAAAAATAATGATTTAAATTGAAAAAAATAAAATTTCAAGATTTAATCTGAGTTCTTAGATTTTATTATATTTTTTTTAAACTTCGCCCACAAAATTGAAAAACAAAATTCATTTTGATTTTTTCTTAACCTTCATAATTCAAATATGGGTAGAGAATCACTTATAATTTTGACTTAAAATATGTCTTTATAATATTTATTTTCTTTTCTTTCATTAAGAGATTTGATTTATATAAACCCACTAGTCCACTAGCCCATGATCCCTCACACACCCACTAACTAATGTCTAATAAATAAAAATAAATAAATAACATTTCAATAAAATCAGATACTTAACAAGTTTCAACATTGATATCACTTTAATAATATTACTGATTACATACATCAAGCATAAAATCGGAATCATAAAGCCTCAATATAGCTAAGAAACAGAGATATAAATATGGGGCAATAAAATAGCATGGAGTAGCAAAAAATTATTTACAAAGAAAATAAAATTATAATTATACATATTTTTAATTATTTTTACTTTTCATAAATATTTTACACTACAACCATATCCAAGGTAATTCTCCCTATAAATATCACTAAAAAAAAAAAAAATTATTACAATTCACCCCCTCATATTTGAAAAATTATATTGACCCCCTGTTAATTTAATTTTATGTATGATGATCATTATGGTGAGGAGAGAACTGTTATGAAACTTTAAACCTCAGAAAATAATCTGTAATGAAATTTTAAATCTTAGAGAGGGAGATGTAATTTCTAAAAAGTGAAAAAGAACTGTAATAAACATAAATCACAATGAGTGTCAATGTAATTTACTCAAAAAATAAATTAATGAAACAATCAATTCCCAAAGAGCTTTTAATCACATAATAAAACTCATATGATTGAATTTGTGTTAGATTTGAATCATAAATCACAATCACAAAAGACATAAATAGTAAAAAAAAACTATGATCTACACATCCTATATGTAGTGCCATAAAATACAAGTTGGCTTGGGACATGTATGAACATGAGAGATGAAGCAGAGAAGCAGCCAAATATTTAAGCAGAAGAATTAATTGTGTCGTGCCAAAAACTGTATGTTGAATTGAACAATGGGGGGTTCTCTCAGACAAATGCCTCGATTCGTCGTCAGGGTGAATGGAATGGATATCGGACTCGTCATCGTTTTAATCATCACAGAGAAACCCCCACTCTCTAATCAAATATAACATCCGTTGAAGAAATAAAATCAAACAGAGATCATTCTACCAAAAATACAAAAGAAATCAAAATAATCAAAGGGAAAGCAGAGGTTAGATAGATATCTTCATTCTACGAAGATCTGAATGCTCAACCTCCTCAAAACAAGAGAGAGAGAGAGAATGTTTAACGTTTGCGGCATTACCAAGCCGTTCCCTGGCAAAGTATTTGTTTTATAGGCGGAAAGGGTTTTCCAATTTAGGGTTTTCCAATGTAGGGTTTATTGAGTCGTAAGGCGGTCATCCACCGGGCCCAAAAAAACCCTGGCCCGGCCTCATAATTTGTATAAATATGGGTAAATTATACTCCAATCTCCGTATCACTTCATCATTTTCAGTTAAAAATTATAATAATTAAAAGGGTACGTGATATAATCTATATAAGTATATTTATTTAAATAAGTATATTTATTTAAATCATATCATTTTTTTATATTTTTATATAATTTTTTATAAAAGATTAAAAAATATATTTTTTTAAATTATTACAAATACCCCTTAACTCTCTTTATTTATTATTATTATTTTTTAATTTGGATCTTTATGATTAAAAATATCATTTCACTAATTTGATAAATTACACTCTATGTCCTTGAACTATCACCTCATATTAGGACTGGTTTAGGGTTATCTAAATTGCACAACCCGCCTAATTCGAACCGATTCGCATACAAATAGACAGTTTCGCAAACAAAATGCGGACGGATGCGATTTGAAATATGGCATGATTGCGGGTTGCGGGTGGGTTGCTGGTTTAACTCGCACCCGCAAAAATCCGCCTGCACTTAGACTTTTTTTTTTTTTTTTTTAAACCAGGACCGTTGTTATTTTATTATTGCATTTTGGATGAATGTAAAAATTAATGAATAATTACTTTTAGGATAAGTTTAGGATTTTGAATGATTTTATTTTAATTGTATTGTTGGGTAGTATAGTGAATGAGATTGATGATTTAGTTTAAGATTTTGAAAGATGTGCTTATGTTAGTTTATGATTTAATTTAAAAATTTAGTATTTTGAATGATTTATTTGTGTTACGAATTGATTTTGTTGTGTTTTTAATTTTATAAGTTTTAATTCATTAATTATTAATGTTGGAGCATTTTAGAAAATGAGAGGAAAGGGGCCCAAAATAAATATTTACAAAATGGAGAAAAAAAAGACTCCAAAATAAATTTTTAAAGAAAAAAGTCCAATCCGCAAACCACCTGCAACCATCCGCACATCCGTGAACCCTGTCACGCCCCACTTTTTATTACTCAAAGTATTACCAATTTCATTTACTTAATTCCATTTCAGAGATAACATGCGGAAATAAACTCGTATATTCAACTCGTAGAAGTGAATAACATTACTCTCATTTGTATGCAAGTAAATACAACATGAGTATAATAAATAAATTGCCATTGGGCTTACATCATTAACGAATCAAGAAGAATGGTGCAACCTTTTTACACATATGGCATTTCGCCAATACAAGAGAGGCTCCGTGGCCAACAAATAAGAAGATCCAAATCTTGCAGCACATTCAGCTCAACACCTGAAAAAGATTTAACAACGTGGGATGAACATATAGTCCAATAGGGATCTCAACATGGCCCTCAACAATAACAACTTACAGATAGCTATATTCATGAATGCTCAATCTCATACTAGGATAGTAATGTGACAGTTTACACAAAATATACATAAGTATAAACTTTTCCCGAAAACAACCATTTCAATCAACGCCATAGGCGATTCATCTTTCTTTTTTCCTTTTATTAATCCTCATTCCCAATCTTTCATAGCATTAACAATTACTTAGGAAATAATTTCACTAAGCCCATTACTTTCTTCCATTTCCCACACATACAACAGATGTACCTTTTCAAAACATATTTTCAAAGTATTCGATCCTCTTCACACTTTCCAAAAGACAAAAATGACGTTTTGGTTTCTTCATGATACAATTATATCTATACATGCATACCTTATATAAAAGGGAGATAACAAATCACCATGTATAAAATCAACTAATGAGGCAACTTGGTCCTCCAAAACTGTAATCTTCCCAATCCATAATATTCTCAAATACACTGAAACAACAACAACAAGATTTTGCTCTACCAGCTATGTGCGTAGTAAGCCAAAGATACACCTCTCACAGCGACCTGCCAGTTTACCAAGCGCTAGCTGGAAGGGTATGGTGCCTTCGATTCTCAGCACAGTCAGTTCTCCAAGCGCTAACTGGAAGGTCACGGTACCTCTGATTTTGAGCGCAAGGTATAACACCGCCAACCAAAATACAACAGGGCATAACTAACATGTATAATACATATACATAAACCATCAAGATACAAGCAATGTGTTAAAGTATATGAACACATAATTAATTTTCCCCGAGCAGGTATATATATATAATGTATCTCAGTATTTCATCACATACAATGCTCAATCAACAGTGGTGTAATGCATACACGACAATCCAACACAACCATGGCATCCTCCACCGATGACCAAGGACAAAACCTCTAGATGCAAGTATTTAGTACATCTATTAAAAGACCCAATTATCATGAGATCACAAACCCAACAACAACATTAACATGGTAGTTAAAGATACAACCCCCACATTTGTGTGTATTTAACACTCAAGAAACAACAATCCAATTTTCATACTTATATCAAAGATACTTTTCTCATTTCACAAAACAAATTCCATTTCCTTTTGTTTTCACAAAACCAACTCCATCCCTTTTGTTTCCACAAAACCAATTCCATTCCTTTTGTTTTACAAAACCAATTCCGTTGATAATAAAGTCATAATTCACATTAGTCCACTACATTCATTTCAAAACCATTCCAAAGCCAAAGTTAACCCCTTAGGCATTAACACCTTCACCCAACTCACATTAACAATAGAGATTTACAACATAGGTTAACTACTCTCCATTTTAATTTACCAAATCAAATATAACTTAGGGCTTTTTCTTCTTCCAACTAGAACATGCTAATTTATACTCCAATTAGCCCAAAACAACCATCAATGATAAAATAACCATTTTCAAACAACCAACCCTAGGTTCCTTCTCATGATTTCAAACAAATCCAACATGGATATGATTTTCATGCAATACAAAACTACCACATGTCTATCTATAGACGAAGTATTGAAAAAGAACAAGGAAATCCCTACCTCAAATGTAGAACCCAAGGAGAAGAAGAGCTAAACTCGGAAGTGCTCCAAACACCAAATTTCTCAAATCAAAATGTAGCCCTCAATGATCAACACACTTTTTGTAAAGGCCAAAGGTGAGGAAAACACTCCTACTAGATCAAACCCTAGAGAGAAGTTAGGTTTTAGAGTGAAGAGCTC